TTTTGCCAGACAAAATTATAGAGACCAAAACTATAAAACCCAAACTAGATGATGCTACCGTGCTCTGGAGAATTTACAAAACAGATGTGTCCGCAGTCTGCAATTCTGTTGAGAATATTTGTGTGAGAAAAACAGACCACAGAAATGAAAAGGATTCACTGAAATTGAATCAAAGTAAAGTGCATTTTCCAGGATCCTGACAATGATGAGGAGTCACTGCAGAAAACAATACAAACTCACTGCTCGGCCTTATAATCTAGTGCTTGTGAAGACAAGCAGAACTTTATCTATACCCGAATCCAATTAAAGTGGAAACAGGATTGGGGCCCAAGACACAATTGTATCTACAGATTCAATCTGCTCTGCTTTTCAGAACAACAGTGGATTATTACTTTATTTGATTGCAACAATTATTGTAACGATCGGCTTTCCACCTGCCAGACATTTTGACTGTCATTGTAATTTTCTGCACCCTATTTGAAGACTGAACACAAATCCTGGCAGAAATATTCCCTCTCTCGTACAATCGCAGTTCTCCAAGTGGCCAGTCAGGAAAAAAATTTTTTAAAATAGCCATGCTGAGACAGTGCTACTTGTGTTTGGTCAACAGGTCCCAAGACTAGTCTGGACTGCTGCACGCTCAAATACAAACACAGCCTTCCACCGGTCCCAGGAAAGGACACCCGTGCACCAGGAAGGCAACAAGACTCATGAATCATAAGAAACACACACACACACTGCTAACTCCCATTCATTACAGCAGTACCCAAGGGGTCCTCCTACCGCCCATACATCTTCTTAATGTCAGTGCCACAGGCTCTCCTGCATTCCACAGTCTCAACCTGCTGGTCCAAACAAGCAGTAGTGGCGATAAAAGCGAATAAACAGCAGACTGGGAAAGGCCAAGGATGAGGCTGTTGATAAAAACAATAACTTATTGATATACAACATATTCTCATTTTAAAAAAAGACCCTGTAGTCTATGTGTATTCTAAGTGACCATGCACTCCATAATGTCTGGACCGATTCCACAATCAGGAAGCTGAAATACAGACTACCAGAAACACATTAAATGCCTGTACTGAAATCAGTGCATTGCAGGAATACATTTTTCCATAGGATTAATCGATCCCACTGGCAAAATGGCTTTTGTTTGTATTTATGTTAAAGCAGACACTGAGGCAACAACTCAGATTTTTTTTTCCTCAAGCCGTTATGTAAACAAATCGACATATAACACAGCTATCTATAACAATGTATTGCAAATTTACCAGATGAGCAAATCATGGAGTATTATTGAACTGAACCCTATTGCCATTACTCCTGCATCCATAGTCAACAATGAAATGCTGTTTCCCAAAGACTGAAAAACAGCAGTATATCCACTTGATAATACACAATGTACACAATGCAAGATGAATATTCACATAGTCAACAGGGTTGTGTATTTGAAATGGAGATGGGTAGTCTAATTATGCACAAAGTTTACAATGCAGTGTGCAAAGTTGTATAGGTGGAGAAGTCGGGTGATCGTGTAGGTGAAAGTTGGTGTGTGTGTGTGTGTGTGTGTGTGTGAGACAAAGTCTACATAGTTGTAGGGATATAGGATGGTTCAGGAGGATGGGTAAGGGGTAAAAGCGTTCATCCTAAGGTGTGAAGCTGTTGAGAAATCTGTCTTGATTCAGATGCTCCCTGATGTTGGGAGGGGGAATAACAATTGGGAATGGTGAGATGGGTTCTGGATGAAGATGGAGCTTCTTTAGATGCAGACCTGGATAAAGATCTGCAGCATAGAGAGGGAAATGGCACTAATAATCTGTTTTCAGAAGTCTTTACTGGGTTTTCTTTAGACATCATACAGCTTTGAAACCACACTCCATCCATTCATTCTACTTTTTCACCAAACACATATAGACTGGTTGGGCAAACTCCCACACACCCTTGAATATCCTCAAGAGGATGAAAAGAGTCCAATGTTCCACAACCGGGACAAAAACAACATTGTTCCTAAAAAAAAATTGCTCTTATGCAAAAAAAAAATAAAAAATGGACTGTAGCATTTAATCTTTAAAATTTATGACATAAAATGAAGATCAAAATATTTGCAGAGGTAGAAAGCCAACCAGCAACAGCCCAGGAGTCATCAAGCATTACAAGGTGCCTTAGGTGCTCCATCTTATTGGCAGTTGTAATCAGAATTAAATTCGTGTCATTCTTTAAGGGGACATGTAAACCTATAAATTATATTTTCCAGCACTGACACAGAAAATGTCAACCCTATAAACACCTCGATGAAATAAATGAGCACAACAAAGAAGCAATCAATGGCTCATCAGCAGCACCGCCTGTGGTTCGCCAATATGTACTATGCCTGGTGTAAGTTGGGGCAACAAGAATACTTTCTTCATAACTCAGCAACACACATGCCCAGTGGTGTTTGGCACAGAGCACAACGTTAATAAGACTGATCCATTTTATTCTGCACTACTGAAATATGCTCATGCCTACTGGTCATAATCGTGTATCACTACATCACAGACGTGTGCTATGCTTTCAGGGGAATTATTTACATTTCAGAATATTTTACTCACATTTTGAGGAATAGACAGAAACCGTGTGACATCCTTGCACCAAAAGCCAAAATACCTTTGGCAGCGAGTATAATATAATCAGATGCATTTTTAAACTAATGCATATGGCAATAAATAAATATTTATTATTATTCACTACTGCAATTCTAATTTATCCCAGTCCAAAGGCGATGGCTGGATTCACCTGTTGGAAGCCTCATACTGACTGTTGCCAAAACCCCATCCTTAGTGCTTTGTGTAAATACCCGACTATGATATGAAGACATAGACTCAAGCTTTTAGTTTATTCCGTAGATATTGTGATAAAATAATACTAGTGCCAAGTTTGTAAATAAAATTTAGATTTGGGTTGAATGTAAATTTTGAAATTACAAGACAAAGCCATAAGGCTTGGCAGTAGTTAATAGCTTGTCCCACTCAGTATTTTACATTATGAGCTCTAATTTCTACAACCAAATCATCACCTTGAGTTTGATTATGAGGTTCACAGGGGTAATTGCACACATTGTTTAGTTGGCAATCAAGTCCTGTAGTTGATTTGATGAGTTTTCATATAATTTAATTTCACCTTCTTAAATGTGTTTTTTTAAACTGGGAAGAGTTCAAACTGCTGACAAGCAACTCTTTTTCAACACCGCTAAGCAGTCCTTTCAGTTAAACTGTATAAATGGACTACAACGCAAACATCTACCAGAGAAATGAGACAAATACGGTAACATTTTGTTATTTAACAGTTGATGGATGAACCCTGTCAAAGCAGGGTCATCAAAAAGAAACTGCATTCATTTATAGTAAAACAGTAAGCTTTCTCAATAAAACAGACTACTTATTAGAATAAGCTGAAGGGTAAACAAAAATAAAGCTAATTTATATTAACTAATTTACACAATGACAGACAAGTTTATCTTACTGCTCTATTATTCAAGGCGTCTCCAGGGCATTGAACAAGACCAGTTGCTGGGATCATTACTTTCAGCAATTTGCTTTTTGCACACTGCATGATAGAGATTAACTAAAAACATTTTGTGATTGAAATTAAGTTGTTGCTTCTGCCAAACAGTCAGTAGGTAGGTTAATTGTTTAAATGCAATTATCTTTGATACAAAATGGCCTTTACTAGGGTGCTAAGCTTAAATTTATATCTGGTACAAACTTACATTTTCAGTGTACTGTACAGAGTCCTGGGAAGAAAGCCGTGAACTATACTGATGCGCCATCTCGTCATTTTAAAAAAAATTTTAAACTGTGCCCGATGGAGCTGTTCGAACCAGAAATGGGTCTTTTGACTGATTATCGGTCACAAACGTTTTGCCCAGCCATACTCACCCACTGCTAATAAAGCTGCAACTGCAGCTTATTCTTGGGTAACGAATCTAATTCAGTCCACTTTATGTTATCAGTCTAACAAGTAAGAAATCCAATTATAAACAGATTACGATGTTTTATGTTTTGTTTTTTTGCCTGGAACTGTGTAATCATCTCAACTTGGAAACAGGTGTGAGAATTAAATTACCTGGTTATTTTACTTTAGCCAATAACATAGCAAGTTCTCCTTTTTCACAAAAGCTTATGGGGCAGCAGATGTAAACAAGGACAATGCCACCTCACCACAACAAAGTCCCCAGAGATGCTGCAAGATCTACAAACCTCATGCTCAACAGTAGTGTACAAGCACATGAATTAAAAAACAAAAATCAGTTTGGATGCCTTAAAAGCCCCAATATCTTTGTGTTTGGTAGGCTAAACAGAACAAAGCATCACTGTCTATATTTGACACCATCTGACGCTACATCCAAGTTGTGTTGCTCTGAAAATACTCTGAATGTACTGCAACATCTAGAAAAGCACTAATAACTGAAATGAAAAGGAATAGAGGTTTTTTTGTTTTTGTTTTTGTTTAAAAGAGGCTACCTGGAAAGAAATGGAGGGGTGTGGTTATAGTAAACCTAATCCATGTCTCCAAGCATGTTTCCCCTCCAAGTAAAACTTACCTTTCCTTACCATTTAAAGACAGGTCGAATCCATTTCAACACACTACAGGCAACAGAAACGATCAACAGAAACTAGATGTTATCACAAGAAAAATGGGAAGGTGCAGCCTCACTGATGTTCTGCTTTAATAGAACATGAAAGTGAAGTTTGCAGGGAATCTGTTGCACATCTGAGCAAAACCTTTGGGGATTGAGGGCATTGTGCACCAGCTCTCGCATAAATCCCCTGAATGCACACTGGGGGCGGGGGGCGCACACATTATTGATGTTTACTTTTAAAAAACAAACAAACAAACAAACAAAAAAACGAGAAAAATGGGAGGGGGCGGGAGGTTCAGCCCAGGATCAGGTGTTCCAAGCACTATTGTTTTGCATTAATTATGCGCAATACTTAACAGGAATACACTTTTTTTTAACGTGATTACAAATATCTTTATTCCGACTGATAATTATCACAAATAAACAAAACTACAGAATCTGTGAAACACACAGTGGACACAAATATGTCTCTACTTAACACAAAACAGAACGTAGTACATTTCCCATTAGGCCCACACTGCACATGTGTGTATGTGCTTATGTTTGCAAGTATGTGAGAGTCAGAGGAGGAAAAAATAAAATAAAAAAAGAAAGAGTGGGAAAGCAAATGGTCTTATCTGGCATGCGCAGGTCCAGCCCTGCCATTCTAAGTGCACGTCAGAGGGTGAAAAGGAGTGCTTGCTACTTTGCTGGTTTTCTGCTTAAAAGCAGCTACCACCTCCACATGACCACAGTATACACATAAACAGGTGGCTTACTTAAGACAGACACTGTGGTGATTTCTTTTGTGCCTTACTGACCCACTCTCTCTTCTGACTTCATATAATAACAAAAAAAAAGAAAAGATCCTTTTTATATGATCATGACAAAAGGACAAAGAGTACCAAAAGATCATTTTGACCTAGCTGATTGGTAAGCAAAAACTACAACACAGTGACAGCCTTTTTTTGTACAGAAAATGAAAGATTTGCAAGGACAAACAAAACTAGAACACTTGTCAAAGGTTCCTAGTGGTTAGCCGCCAGTTTCCTTATGTTCAGGATCAACCTCTTGCTATACTCTTTATGATCAACAGGCTTTACATCCATCACTGTAGCTTTAATCCTCGATTCATCCTGTCAGAAAGAAAATGACATTCATATGAGAAATGGCATAAAAAAAAATCAAGTCCAACAGATAGATGTATGTACGTATACACATATATATATCTCCATTTCTCTATATCATATATAGATATCCATCTATACAACAAAGACAGACAGATATCGATATATATCTGTCTCTATCGATATAGACAGATATATCTCCAAATGGCTGTATAAATATATAGAGCCATTTGGACTTTGGCATTTATCCCATGGTAAATGTTTTCAACAAGATTTTGTTAACAACTAAAAATCATTATGTAATATAATTAATTACCAATGAAAGAGAGTCGAACATTTAAAGCCTTAGACATCTCCATAGCTGTCTAGACAGGGGAAGGCCGTTCTACCAGGGCTATTACTCTCTGCATTTAAACAGTGGTTACACTCCTTTTGTCTCCGCTGATCATCTGTTGCTTAAGTGGGTGAAAAGTAAACCATTTTTCTTTGGATATGAACCCAATTCTTTAAGAAAAAATAAATCCTTTTAGATCTTAATGCTTGGTTTTTTTTGTAAGTGAAATATGCAGACAAATATAAAGCGACCTCAAACTGCTCAAATTTAATCATATGAATGGCAATTGATGTTAGAATCAGGGCAGACGACCTAGGGGAGCCCTGCACGGTGCACATTTTAGCACAGGAAGGCCAAATTTCACAAATGCTAAAAGCAAGAAGTTCAGATATAAATATGGGTGTTTTATTTAATTATCACGAAAAGTAAAGTTCATCAATTAAACACAAAGCAGTTGTACCAGTTCTGCCTAAACTGTAACAAAAATTGAAGGCTAATGAACACTGTCCACGTATCCCACATAAAAAGGTGGACACAGCTTTCCACTCTTAAAACCAATGCAAAGTGTGTAAAACCTTCACTCTCTCCAAAAACCAGCAGGGGCGACTCATCTGGCTAGGAGAAAAGTCATGTACTGTGAAGAGATTACTATAGGAGAACAAGTGCACTGCTCACCTACAACCCCAGCAAACGCTTTCCTAGAAAGACTTCAGTCCTATTTATTACAACATTATGCTCTTTTTGTCCCCATAAGAGTCACGTAGTCTCACATAGTGCAAGACTGGGAAATTCATTTGCTTTACTCCAGGGCTACTTTGTGATTGGCAAGTTTTTACTATGTGCATGCAATGTCCCTCAGGTAACAGACTGAACTTCAACTACCAACAGTTGACATCATGGTAGATATGTCCTTTTATATACAGTCTGTTTATCCTGGGAGTGTTATACCAGTAGTTCCTTCCAGACTGGAAAATGGATGAGTGCAACTCATCCAGTTTGGAGTGGTGGAGTAAAAAGCCTGCTGTGCTGAGACCAATCAGTGCCAGAAACCACTTAGCTCCCCTCTAAACTCACACCCCTCACCTTGCACTAAAGCCCCAAAGTGTGTGATAAGAGAGGACCACATCCCATCAGACAGAACTCATGAGGGCAAAATAAGGGAGATATCCCTTCAAATCCAGCTATTTCTATTTAAAACTGGAATAGTAGTGATCAATGTGGGAGAAAAGCTACAATAAAAACTCGAGAGCTACTTGGTTCCAGGCAAGTAAAAGGTCAAGTACTGACTTGAAATATTTATGAGGTCAAATAAACAATTGATCAAAGTATTTAATCTACAGATTTACATTAAATTAAATTATGCAGAACATTTTTTGCAAGATAAATATAATTAAGAAGTTTCACCAATTAATCATAGTATTACACAGCCCCCATACTGCGCTTAAAAGGACAATAATATCATTTATTTAAGACCTTATGCATAGAAATGTAGTTCAATGAGATTAATAATGGCAACCTCAGGTTTTGACTTTGACACCAGCAACATCCCACAACCCTGTCTTTGTTTTTTATTTTAGTATGAGTTTCATTCTAATTTGAGTTTGTTCGCATCGTTAATTCCAAACATATCTCCTTCACACTGTTTTAACTGTACAACCATTAAATAGTGTGATAATCAGAGAAGGTGCTCTACTTTGTTGTACATATACATTTAAAAAAATAATAATTTTGTACCAGTTAAAAAATAATTTAAATAAAAGGAGAAAGATGTAATAAAAAAAAGCAATAAAATGGGAAAGGATTTCCTACAGTATGAGATGAAACTTTTCATTTTCTTTAACCAGCATTATAAAATACAAAGGATATGATGGCAACGATACTTAAGAAGTCCTTAATTGCTGAAACAATCCAATAATTATCTAAATTGCCAGTGCTTGATTACCTTCTTAAGTTTAATTTGAATAATTGCACTGCATCGCATCTGTGTATTTGGCTAAAAATGTGATGGATTCTATTCCAACATGTGATATAGCTAGACTGACCTTTAAATGTGCTGATGGTGTGTTTCACTGTCTTACTGGCATTACAGAAGGCAATTTTATTACACTCCTTACGGGGGAACTTCATTCAGTTAAAACGAAGAGTGTAATTCCCTGAAATATTCTGATGATGCTCTTTAGAGGGGTCCGGTCAATATGCAAGTCACACTGTGTTACAGCGGACTGTTATCAACTGTTAAGAACCTGCTTTGTCCCACATCAAGCCTATAAATCAAAGTACACAACAATGTGTGAGAGCATGACACAATGGCTGGATTGTAGCGCTGAGAAGTAGAAAATGAACTCAAAGAGGGGTTGCAGGTGTCTCTGTTGAAGGAATATGGGGTTTGGAGACAGAAGCCAATACATGCTTGTAGCAGTGCCATTGGCAGTTAGGATGCTGAGCTGAATGTGACAGACACAGTGGCCCTTTTTTGTGTGTTGAAGGCGGATGCAGTCTCTGGCTTGGCTCCAGACTTCCTGCTCAGAGTCCCAGCCCAATCAATTCTTTTATGTGCTTCCCTCAAAACAAACCTCTATCTGTGTGGCCTACAGGAAATACTGACCGCAGCTAATCTGTGTGTGCATCCTTCACAAAGCCACTGAAAATGAGCAGCATCCCAGGACAAACACTGACGGCTTCTCTTTTTTTTTTTTAAGACGCAGTTCTGCCAGTCAAAATGGGAAAACTCTCCCATGTTAAAAAGAAGAACAACAAAAACAACCAGAACCTCTTATGTTCCCGCTGTGAAGTTTCAGTAGTTCAGGGACGCAGAGACACGGCCTCATTTTTCTCAAGATTTCTTTTTTTCTCTCTAAATGCATGTGGTCTGTCTGACACTGTGCTGCAGCGACAAAACCCTGGGTATTTTTTCACACTACCACAAAATTTTTACTTACATTATACGTTTCCAGCTTCACTCTGTTGCGGAAGACAAAAGTGTTGAAGTTGGCATGCTGGAAGACCTCATCGAAGGCAGCTTCATTCTGAATTTTAATTAAAAGTTCAGATATAATCCTTTAATCAAAAGCCAGTTTCATCAAACAGTCTTGAGTGCAAAGGAAAGTAAGTGTCTAACAAAACAAACAAACAAAAAGCTTTGATTTTTCTAAGTAATTATAAATAGAAGAAACAAAGCACCACAGGTTTCAGACATATTTGCATTTGTCTACAGAAACGTATGTGTGTGCATGTTTGGGGAGCATGAAGCTTAAAGTTTAGCTCTGCCCTGGTCGTTCCCTGAGGAAAGTATTACATTCAGCAGAGAAAGCCTCACCGAGTCCTTGAGCTGCCCCAGGTAAGCTGCATTCTGGCCCAGGATAGCCTCTGCACTCTCCTGGAAGCAAGTCACCCACTGGTTGTCCCCATAATCTGCAATGTTGGCCTGACGGATAATAAAGGGGGGGGAAAAAAGTTAAATGCATAAACAACTATTGACCAGAGTAGCCTGGCTTATATCAAACAAACACCCTTTCACAAAATGTAACAGTTAGTGGATAGCCTATGTACTCCCGGCAAGTGTGACACAAACACAAAAGCGCGCGCGCACACAGGTTAAGCTAAAGCTTGAGCATAATAATAATAATAATAATAATAATAATAAGTCAACTGGTGAGTGGTACGAAACAAAACCTGCCTATTTCAGATGCATGCCTCTCACTGCTTGTTGCTCACCGAGTTTGTCTTTTATACTTAAAAATGCAGTTTGTTTGCATTCATGTCTGTGTTTTGTGTAAAATGGTAATGCCGACAGGAAAGCTGCTGCAATTAACCCAACGTAACTAACCACACAAAATGGGAATACAACATGTGTCTTCATTACACTGCGTCACAGAAACTGCAGAATGGGATTTATACATCTCTAAATTTAATCACAAAGAGCAGATTGGGAATATGTTTAAACACAGAGAGAGCCATAAAAGGGGTGGATTGGATTGAGCCCCAGGATATAATAGGCAATATAAAGGTAGGGATGGGCTTTTTTTTTTAAAAAAAAAAAGAAAAAAAAAAAAAGCTACAACATTTTCGCTGGAAGCAATTTGATTGTTCTTTGAAGCTCGCTTTCAAATGACTGTGCACAGTTGTGGCAGACTTGTGACGTGCTAGTTTTAGTTAGTGGACTTCATATTAGACCTGATTTAATAAATTTTTTTGCAGTCGAGCTACAGATAGACCTTCGTGACAGTTGTAGCAGTGTTTTGCATTGCACTGTTCTCCTCCTTGTACATGACATGTAATTTACAAAATCTTCACCAATCTGATGCCTGGTAGTTTATTAGATGTATTATTAGATTATTTATTAGACGTATTAAAAGAATCATTGACTCAGGATTCAACGAAAACGATCTTTCAATGTGTGCATGGGCATATATGTTTCTGCAAGTGGATGCCATCGCTTAAAAAGAAAAAGAAAGAAAGAAAAGACGGCCAGAAGCTTTTGGGGGGACCCACGCTGAATCACTTACAGAGAGGATGAGGCGGTACTTGAAGTTGGGGAATTCCTTGTCACACTTCTCACACCGAAACATGCCATTCTGCTGGTCAACCACTTTTTTGTTGCAGTCTTGGCTCGGGCAGGCCTGATAAAGACAGTTTTCCTTGCGCAGAAACACAATCGTAGCTACGCAGGTGTAGTAGTCAGCCTAAACAAAAGACCCAAAAAAAGAAAAAAGAAAAAAAAAAAAGTATAAACATTGTAACTGTGACATACTCATCACGTCTCACTCTCATGACCTTTGTGTTGTGGATGTTGACTAATGCAAACCAAAATAGAAACAGGATAAAATTAATATTAAGATGGCATTTTTGGGACTATGCAGTGATATATGCGAATAGTCAGAAATAAACTTATTATCATTTAAGGAGCAGATGCATAACCAACACTGCCAACCAGAATGCTAATGGCAACACAAATGCCAACTATTGAGGGAGCTGCTGCTTTTCCACGGATTCAAACTTGAGAAACATGCTGCATGTAAACAGCTTCCAGGAAGTTTTCTTTGTTGTCATGGAAAACATCAACCAAGTGACATTTGCCATAGTCGATGGAAACAAATCTCCTGACAGTTCTAGTTTCTAGTTGTCCTTTTATTCTCCGTCTTTGTTGCAGTCCAAAAGCTGACTGTTTTTGGAGAGTCTCCCACCTCATACTAACCTCAGAATAGCCTGTCATAACATAAGTCTGGCTTTTCCACGGTTTGATGAAGGATGAATAACTGTGCCTTGGCAAAGCAACTGACCTTCCATGTCTGATAATGTTCAAGTCAGATGTCAGAAAACCATGAAAATGTCTGTAATAACTTGGTTAACTTAAATACAAACAAGAGCAAAGTGCAATAAAAATATGATTTTTAAACTGCTCTTCTGTTCATACTGACCATGGCTATTACATGACATACAATCACCTCAATTAACTTCCAGCTCAAGGACAATTGTTACTTAATGTCACTTGCCCTTAGGAATGAGGTAAATGACAGGGAGAAAATACGGGGGAAACAAATCTTGTTTCAACACACAGCAAATGTCTAAGCTTTCTTTTTTTAAACCCTTGACTATTTTGATTGAGCAAAAATATAATCCTGACACCAACCTCTACTAGTTTTCCAAGAGCTCCAATTAATCAAGAAAATACCTCTTTAATTAACGTGTGACAGACCAGTAGGAACAGGGCAGAAGAACTTGTTTTTTTTTGGCCCTGTCACTGGCTTTTACAAATGGGATGTCAAGCCAACAAGTGGAGGGTGACCACTTGCTGTCAGAAAGGGCAGAGGGGCAATGTGGAAACTTGAGGTTGTGGCACACAAAGACTTTGTGACGGCAACAATTAATTGCAACAAAGTTCTCTGGGTGCGGCCTTGAAAGCCTGACCCCATGCCCTTATGTATAGGATGCCTCAGAGGGTTAAAGACCGGACTAACCTCATTTGTCAAAACCGAGCCTCATCATGTGCACAAAAGAAATTCACCTGAAATTGGCTGAATATTTGTGTTAAAAATGTTAGAAAGATTAAATCCATCAACAAGTTGCGTTGATGGACGAAGAAGGAACAGATACTTTCAGCTGCACCCGTAATCACAAGGGGTCACCACAGTAAGTAGCTCCTCATGTTTTGGCAGATCCTCAATGCCCTTCCAGTCAGGACACAAAAGCGATCTCGTCTCCTACTGGGATCGAACCGGAGCTCTTCTGCTTGTGAGGCAAATGTGTAAACCACTGCTAACCAATAGCGTTATTTGTAATTTGAAATCATTCACCTCAGCACAGTAGATGTTTGACGGGGGTCACTAATTGACTTATGCTCACTATTTAAAACACAATTACTCCTTAAACAAAGTATATTTTACTTAACAGTCTCACTCCTGTACTTTGTCTGAAGCATTTCCTTGCTTTCCTAAGCTTCCACGTAGCCAGAATATCAATCCTTACAGTCTCAAACTTGTTCTCATTGATCCCCTCATAACTGCTTGCATCTATTAATTGTCCCAGTTTTATGGAGCGTTTTCATCATACTGTGATGATTACTAATGTGTTAAATTATGTTAAACTACACAAATTAAGATCTCAGCACAGGTCACATTATCCATTTTGGAGAATTTATACACCTCACCGAGCTCCATTTCCCTCAACAGCACTGATGAAAAAACGAGGAAATTGAACATATATTACTTTACCTATTTGAGGGCAAGGAATTACATTACAAATGGGCAAAGAATAAAGCCAATGTAGAATCTAATCAGCACTAGAATTAAATGCGACTTTCACCAAGAACATACAACAGGGCTATGGAGGAGACACCCACAAGGCAATGTATTATATTGCATTAGGATTAGGAACTTTAGTAGGATTCGGTTTTAAGCGCACATACGTGTTGGTGCAGTGCTTTTATACAACGCCGATTCCAAAGCCTTTTTGTTTCAGGTTTGCAAAGCAGAGCTAGAAGTAAAAGCTACAATACAGAAGCCTATACAGAAATGCAGCATGCACCTTGGATTTTTAATAACAAATGCATTTTGACTGCGAGCATTTCATATTTATTGTTTGGGATTCAACAGCGGCCTTTCAGTGTGTCCTTGAATATCATCAAAGAGGCAACCTTGAATAACAATATTGGGGTTACCATATCTTTAATGTTCAAGCGTGTCAACACAAAGCCGTGCGTGTGTGTACCTTGTCTCCGTGTCCCAGATGCTCAGTCTTAACGTCAGATAGAGACTTCCAGTTGGTGTTTCCTCCCCCGCTGCCACCTTTCACCTCTGTCAGAGACTGTCCATCCATAGCGTGCCCCTCCTTGTCATACCTGTGTAGAATACAGCAAATACCAGTTGCTGCTGATTTGACCCGAATAAATGGTTTTATTACTGATTAAGCTCTTGATTATTCTTTAGTTAATTGTTTGGACTACAAATTTGCGAAAGTGATTAAAATGTGTATTGCTCATTTTGTCAGACTAATAGTTCAAAGCCAACGCATTTTAAATTCACTCACAAAGGACCAAGACAAACAAAGCATTTTCACATTTGACAAACAAATATTTCCAGTTTAAATAAAAATGGCTTATTTGATTATGTAAATAGCTGTCATTTAATTTTCTGTCACTGATTTTATGATAAAAGCTCTGTGTTAAGTATATCTTTTTATTACATTCACTAGATTCCTGAATTATATGACAGTAAAAGTAAAAGAAAAACTATAATTGATAATATCAGAGCTCATATTTTATTCTATGCAATTCTCTCTAATGGACAGTTTGATCACTCCACTAATACATCAAAGGCGTTTACCCCTAAGCTGGAAAGCATTTTTACAGTTTGAAATGGGAGCGGCGCATTTTTTACAGATTCTAAAAACGTCAGTGCCGTGACAAGGGGTTGAGCATCTTTTCAGCACTGGGCATTTGCCGTTTTTTCTGATTTCCAATAGCCAAAATACATTCAGCTTTCACAGTGGAGGACTGGCAGGACACATTCAATACCAACCAACCATCACATCACACTTGTAAAGGTGCTGAATAACAGTCAAAAAGTTAATACTGCTAGTGCAGAGTCTCCAAGGGACTCTCAGGCATTCCCAACCAGGCTTTTTCATAAGAGCACTTTCAGCTGTGGGGGAAGGGGAGAAAAAAAAAAAGATAACCTTTGGTCTACACACCAAATAAGGAATCATAGGGGTCTTTACAACAGTCTTCAGCCTGAAAAGTGACATAATTTGTAGTGCTTTATGAGATTTTTGTGTAGCTTCCTCTGGAGGCATGAAAAGCTTTATACATATGCAGTTATGGAAAAACATGTTGATGTGTACAATCTGTGGTCTTCCCTTAAGTAAATGCACCATGGTAAGTTGATAAAATTATATGTAACATATTTCGACTCGTCACAACACTGCTGTGCAGAAGCCCACTTATAGACTGCAACATTCATTTTAACACATCCCAACCCAGGCAGGAGGCACAATACGCTGCTGTTCACATGACTATCAACAGACTGCAGGCTGTCTATTTAACAGTTGAGTTAAAAAAAAAAAATAATAATAAAAAATTTGTTGCGCAGAGAATCCGTTTGTGTTTGTCAAAGCAGGGACGGCTCATCTGAGGGGAAGGCAGGCTGAGAGGCTTGTGAAATGAATCAACAGCAGAGGGACTGATGAGCTGGCCAGGGTCAGGGCTGTTACGGTGATATCAGAAACCCATTTTCATCTAGTGTTCCCGGTAATTCAGGGAAGACAATGGGAGAAAAAAAAAT